TTGATTTTTTAAAATAATTAATACCACATGAAGCAAATTGTGTTTTTGGATGAATATAAAATTGGTGAAGATAAATATCAAATGTATAATATTTGGCAAAAACAAAATATAATATGCAGTTCATTGGAAGGTGCGTCATTTGTAGAGATAAAATTATAGGGAAGTTCCAGGAAAGGAAACTAATTACTAATTAATAAATCCACTGAAATTGAGTTATCACTAATAAATCTTCTTTAAAAACTTATGCAAAAAATGCAAAGAATAAGTTGTAAAAATGAACTTGGAACTATCAGCTAGCTACTTGTCAAACTGAGAAATTTTCACCTTGACGAGTTTTCTCTGAGACTTATTAATACTACTTCCGGTAATTAGTTAAAGATTAGATTTTGTCTTAAATATATAAGTCCTCACAGTTTACTTTGTCCTCTATACTTATCATTTTTTTAAAAAATTATTTCTATTAGTTGCATATATTAAGAGAGTTTGCATTAAAATTTTGTTTCAATGTAGATGATTTAAGAAGATATTCTAGGAAAACAAATACACATCTTGGACTAGATAATTAATTTAACTAATTTTCTTAATCTATTCAAATTACTTAAGTAGATCTTATATTAGATATTAGAAGCAGTACTTTGATCCCTCTAATTTAAAATATAAGATAAACTTTATTCATTTACATTCATCAAGAAATTAGTTAAAATCATTTTAAGACAATATATATGCAAGGCATACATTTTTTTTTTCAAATATATCCTTATTAATGAGGAGAATAAGTAAAAAATATAATAACTAAATTAAAGAAGAAAGAAATTATATGTTAGGAGTAAAATTTAAAAAAAAAAACTCATTAAATATTTAGATAAGAATAAATGTTATCTTATAAAAAAATCAAGCCATTTCAACAAAGTTTATCTTAAAAATCAAGAGTAAATGTTTTGAACAGGAAGGAGTAATAATTAGTAATCAATTTAAGGGCCCTATTACATAGAGAGTTATAGATTGTGTTAAGCTAATAAGGACCGACCAAGCCAACTCGTGATTGATCAATTATTTCATAATAAGTCATATCTTAAAAATGATTAGCTCAGCAAAATCCACACGTCGTCGTGTCAGGCTCACGCAACCTCCTTCCATTTTCTTCCCATGCATTTTGCAGCGTTTTATGATCATATATTACATCAAAGCCTCCTAAGTCGGGTAGGAACCTTCCAAGCTCCTTCGTCTTTCTCATTCTTCTTCATCATTTTGTCAAACACTACTCTGCATCAATAATGCCTTATATAAGTACCCTCTTAATTATTATGAACCAAATCCGTCTCTTCATTTTTCATATTTTTTCCTTGCTTCCATTAATATTGATTGTGATGGCCACGATCTCATTGAGGACTTTCAGACTCCTTTTTTTTTTTCCCTTTTTGAATAACAAATGTGATATAATCTCTCTAAAATACGTTTACATAATATTAGATTATTATATATCAACTTATAGATTAAATAAATAAATTAACTCAAAAAAAAGTGATAAATATGAGAGATGAGATAAATTAAGTGAATTAAAATCAACCCTTTAGCTAGCTCATATATTTAAGATCTACAGACTACATACATGGGCAGACAAATTTGAAATGAAGCATTTAATTAATTGGGTTGACATGACAACCAATAACGTAACCACATAAATGTTTAGTTCTGGAATTAATCATCTCCTACCTTGTGGGGAAAGTGCCCGGATTGACCCTTAACCAATTTTAGAAATTGTTGTCACATACTATGTCTTCATTTATCTTGCTACCATATTTGTCAATAGCCTAACTAACTCAAATGGCTCTCTCACAATTCCAAGGGAAGATTTATTCATGCGTTATTCTATAATTGAATTCGTTTTCAACCCCGTACACTTGTGTACAATATGATACTGATCTGTACCATGCAATAATGTACTCCATAGGCAAAGCTTTTCGTCATCATTTTGCGTCTTTTTTCTTTAATATTGATCATGACAGGCATGGAAATGATGAAAACCTGAAGAAATGGGAGCTCCCTTTTATTTTCCTCCTTCTTCCATTCAGTTTTTTTACATTAAATCTTAATAGTTTACATTTTTTTCTCTTTTAATCTTAACATCTCAATTAAAATATTAATTTTAAATATAAACTGTTAAAAATTTATTAATTGATACTGCCTTAGACTGATGGTGAGGGGGGCAAAAGCTCTAAGGCATTTGGTTTTCATTCATTTTGTTAATATGATTTTGATTTGGTTATAATTCAACTTTTGAAATTTAATTCGGTATGGCTCCGTTTCTTAACCTTTAGCCATTTAATTTATTGGTCATTACATTACGTTTTATGACTTGATTACAGCTCAATCTTTAAATATGATAACGAGATATTTTCTGAAATTGTATGGACCGATTTATTAAATGACTGAAATTAAATTTAAGAGATTAATTTTAGTAGAATAAAATTTATAGAAATTTTTTTGTGAGCACTCCAGTGTCCGACCCAGACGGCCGAGTAATCTAGTCCAGGTATTATTGGTAAAAAATTTTTTATAGAAATTAATTAAATATGATGATTACTTTTTTAGTTCATGGTTTTCAAAATGTTTATTTTCCTTACCAAACACAACCAATGCTTTTAGTATTGCACGCATCCTTTTATATAAAGGGTGTCATTGAAGTAAAGAAATTTTGTGGCACTTTTCCTCCCTTCTCTTTTTTCCAGAAATATTAATGGCGAGATTGAAAAGATAGGCATAGAAAGAACATAACGAAGCTTCAACTAGATTTATAACTTGTGATAAAGTCCACAGACAATAGAATTTTGCACACAAAGTTATTAAATTCAAAGCGAAATATAGTTGTCAATGGCTATATATAAAATTATATATTTGTGGCTTTTGTTATAACATGAATAGTCGCCACTGGCTTTATTGAAAAAACACATACCATGTGCGTTATTGCTGAAAAATAATCAAAATATTTGAAAGGGATGTTCACATCTTCCTTTTTCACATCATAATGAATGATCTTGTCCTATAGTGGAGGCTAAGGCAGGATTTAATTAATTTGATGCATTAATTAAGAGCAACTTATATTAATGTAAATTCTAATCCATGTGTCTTAACAATTATATCAATCATTAAGACATATAGATAAGAATTAACAGTGCATGTCTTGTATCCAACTTTAGGTGGGATGTTTTTCTTTTCATTTGTATCTTAAAGCAGATTAGTTTTTGTTGATGGTGAAGGATAGTTGTAGACGTCCCAACAAAAAAAAATCATTATTTTAAAATTTAATTGATAAAATAATAAAACTTTCACTAGCTACTTGAATTGAATCTATCTGGCCAAGATGAGATGATGTGCGCCATAGCAAAAATAACATGTGAAGTGAAATTGAGAATCAATTATAAGCTATATATTTATCTTAATTTATATTTATTACGTTTATGATTGTAATGATGAAAAAGTTGATAACAAGAGAAATCAAAAGTAAGTTACAAAACTTCAACCATTCGCACAAATATCGCAAGCACACTTTTTTTTCTTTTTCTTTTCTTTTTTCTCCATATTATTTTTTCTTATTATGTGTGTGTGTGTGTTAAAATTTTCATATATATTATTCACTAAGATAATTTCAACTATTTATTTTATAAATACATACCCGTGATTTATACCGTTTATACCATCTAAATTCTAAAGTGCAAGCTAGTTAGAAGAATGATGGTTGGGGGGGGGGGGGAACAAAGAAGCTAGCTAGAGACTTACTAAAGATGCCAATCAATCTTACCACAGAAATAATCAATTCAATGAAAAATCTTTTAAGTTATCAATGGACAAACTAAAATCTATTTGAACCAATGAAAGAATAAAACGAATTATCAACAGGAAATAATATTAGTTGCGCCAAGTGGGACATACTCAATTCATCCTAACTAAAGAATTCAAATCCTATGAATGAAAATATATATATACATATATTTGCGAGATAACATTAACCCAATATAATTAGACTTAACATTAATATATAACATGACTATATAAAAGAAAATTGAAACTCTAACTCAACCAAAACCATATAGGACCTGCCTATCAAAACTAGCTAGTATTAACTATTACCCTTGGTCCTTAACATGAGAACTAGTTAACTAATTTGAATAAATTAAAAAAATTAGTTAAATTAGTTATTTTTAATAAATATTTATTGCCTTTTCTAAAATATATTTGTTAATCAAGTGTTTTAGTTAAAAATGACATTTGACAAAACCTTTAATATGTACAAATATTATAAGGACTACTTTAAAAAAATAGATAAATAGAGAGTAAAGTAGATTAAGTTTTATATTTAGAATTAAATTGAAAGTCAGACTGGCTTTTATATTAAGTACAGGAAGTAGTATGTGTATTAAGTGCACATTAACTAAGGGTGGACCACGTAAGAAAAAATACGCGATTATATTCATTTTAAAAGAATCGGTCATGCAACTATATGTTGAACGTGGACCAGGGCCTGCTTAATTACAATACCAAACGAATGATCGTCTAACTCGGTTTGAATTGGGCCATTTATGGTTCATCAACCGCATATAATCAATTGGAACCCTATGCCAAAGTATCATGAGCACGACAGGAGAAAAGCATTTTGGTCACGAAAGAATGGAAGGAGAAAAGTAGTGTAATTTGAACGGAACAATTCCGATAGATCGACCCTCATTAAATTATTAAATAATAGAGAATGATATTATCATTATTTTATATAAGCCAGGGATTTGCACAAGTCAACCCTCATGACTTGACCTTTCCCTCTTGGACGACTCTCTGTCTGTCTGTCTGTCTCTCTCTCTCTCTCTCTCTCTTCATTATCGAAGGTTCTCCAATTTGTTGAAATTGCTCTACGACTTTACCCCTCTTCTTGGGGAATTTAAAGGAGAGAGAGGAAAGACAACTAAAGATACACAGAGGCAGAGAGACATAAATATCTATAAAGAGAAAGAGAGAAGCTGTTATGGGTGGCGAAGAACTGAGGAAGGAAGACTTTATTATGGAAGACGATGATGATGTAGTTGAACTTCCAGGGTTTCGATTTCATCCCACAGATGAAGAACTCGTGGGTTTCTATCTTCGAAGGCAGCTTGAAAAGAAACCAATCAGGATCGAACTCATCAAGCAGATCGATATCTACAAATACGATCCTTGGGACCTTCCAAGTATATTCCTTTGCACTCTGAATTATCACCTGTCTCTGTTTAATTATCTTATTTCATCTTCTTTCTATAGTGGTTCCGATATATGAACCAGAAGAGAAAAGAACATAAAGTAGGGCTTTCATTATTAAATGCCCAGCAACAAAATACTTCTTGTTACATAAACCAGCAGTTCAACCAAGATAGATAATTCATGCGATAATCAGTGATATTCTATTTTCATCTGTTTATTTTGCTTCTCTTATGGTCACTGATTCAAGTGATGAGAGGTTTTCCCTCTCCAAGACATACATATAGTTCATACACGCACACACACAAGTAAAAGCATATGAAGATGTTATGAATCTGATAATCCTAGTTTTTGTGCATCAGAAGCAATCTGCACAGGAGGGGAGAAGGAGTGGTATTTTTTCTGCAAGAGAGGGAGGAAGTACAGGAACAGCATAAGGCCAAATAGAGTAACAGGTTCAGGGTTCTGGAAAGCCACGGGAATAGACAAGCCTGTGTATTCTCTTGCAGGAGAAGGCACTGATTGCATTGGCCTCAAGAAAACTCTTGTTTACTATAGAGGCAGTGCAGGCAAAGGCACTAAAACTGATTGGATGATGCACGAGTTTCGCCTCCCTTCTCATCAAGACGCCGCCGCCAACACCACCACCATCACCTCGACCACCACCGTTGCCCAAGAAGCTGTAAGCAACTTTATTACTTTTCAGCATTCCTTTATCACATTCATACTCGTCTCTTGCTCTCAAGATCTCCTGGCCTCCCGAAATGAATATAAGGCACTTTATGTTCACCTGAAGAGACCAAGATAGTGTCATTAGTTCTGTATCGGGAAGCCTCACAACTGAAGAATGTGATTTATAAGTTCAAACAGCTTCCCTTACCAAATTGGCTAGTCTTTTGGGATGAGGTCTTTTCTTGAACTTTATGTCAGATATAAAATCCTAAAAATAACCTGTATCTTATTCACCTCGTTATCATCTTTTATCTATGACCCACCCAACTTGAAACACCAAATGAAACTATTTTGAGTCATCATATTTCATTTCTGAGAGTGTTATGATATAATGTTCTTACATTCATTGTTTGGCTCAATGTAGAATGTTTAATTTAGTCTTTTATACGATCCATTAAGTTTCAAAGTTTGTGCTTCCTAGTTGGCTAGCCAGTAACAAGTTGATGGTAAGCTCATCAATTATATTTGCAGCTGATTGTTCTATATGATTATATGTGCAGGAAATCTGGACATTGTGTCGAATTTTCAAGAGAAATGTTCCACCAAGGAAGCACATGACGGACTGGAGATCATCACAACAAGCAGGTACCAAACGCCAATATTCTTCTTCAGTAGACAAGAACACATCAAGACTTATCACAAGCACTGTGGACATCAGTGATCATACTAACTTCTACGACAACAATAGCAAAGAAGCTTATATCAATTTTGGAGGAAGCAATTATAATCATCATCATTATTATTCTCAGCAGGTTAATCATCACCATGAGCTTAAACCAGCAGTCTTCAATAATACTAACATTATTGATCAAAGGAATAGTAATAATCATCATCCGTTCATGATGATGAACTCCCAAACAGCATCAGCAGCAGCACAACAGCCACAATTAATCACTGCTTCTTCTCCGTCTTCTTCTTCCAACTTGTGGATTAATAATAATCCTTCTGCTGCTGCTGCCAACGACTTCCTCAAGTATGAGAATTGGGATGAACTTGGATCAGTTGTCAAGTTTGCTCTTGATTCCTCTCTCATGTAAATATATATATGTGATATTAACCATCTCTTCCTATAGGTTTTGTTTTAGCTGGTATTGTTTCATTATTTGGATGAAACACATTAGAGTGCTTGGATTTGTATGTCAGCAGACTCAGTCGTATGTATATTACTTATATATGCATGTAGTGGTTTATTAGAATTGTATGGAATAACTGATGTTTTACATGACTTGGTCTCTCACATCGCGATTAACTTCTAAAAAAATTTATATACATATATAAAGGTTTGATAATCATTCAATGTACAGGTGTATCCACCAATATCCTAAAGTATTTTGCTATTCATTCAGTATTCTAAGGTTTTTTTTTTTTTTTGTGTGTAACCATTGTAAATTGCCAAGAGTAAGATTGCAGAGTTCTTTTCCATTTCAAGAATGGTTTTTATCTTGAAAATATTTTAATGCTTTTATTTATATTATATATATATATATATATATAAATTATAAACACTCTAATTAAAGCTGGTATTTATTCTGCAATTCAGATTCATGGTGTCACAATATATACCACTCATAAATGAACAAACATCTAGCTGAAATTGATTTATTAGCAGATGAAGAGAGGTGATACAAGCAAATATGTCAGTTTAATAAAGTCATATCTTTAAAAGAAAGGAGTCGTCGCCTGGAATATATCATGTGTGTGTGTGTCTCCTGTGATATTAATCCAATATTATTTTAGTAGACCATCAATAATATTTCACAAATTGTTGTTCAATAATGTAACATTTTTTAATATAGAAGACGTTATAAGCTAGTACTACCTAGCTCCGGTTTTAATTATAAAACCTCATTTATAGTTTACAAATGAGATCTTATAATGGATTAGGAGGTAGTATTGGATTGCATAATCATTATTCTTCAATATTTCCAAAAAATTTATCGTGCAAACTGCAAAAGCCCAATGTATTACCATACTTCTAATTCGAATTCAATTCTCAAATCAGAGGAAACGGCTTCTTAGACTGCTAATGTTTTTACTAAAAAATTATATTTGGACTAATTTCAATATTCAATATCAATATAATTTGAGGTACTTTAAATTCCTGCAATGCATATGAAAATTTATCCAATTCTATATGCTATAACCTCGGCAGGCAGTTAACATATTTTTTGTACGTTAATTTAAAAAATATTTTTATGTTCAACCGAATGGTAAGCATTGATCATTCAAATATAATTGTCGAATATACTAATTAATTAAGGTTAATCATGCATAAACTTTCGTTATATATATATATATATGTTCAAAGTTCAAACAGTATCATTTACGATATGATCTTAAGATATTTATCATTGGTCTTTTCTGTCATTCTATATTTTATAAAATTGTGAAATGATCAAATCAAATTTCTGGTGAAGGAATTAAAAAATTTATTCAAAATAAATCAAGGACTTTTTATTTGAAATCAAAACCTTGCTTAAATGAAGTATTATTAGTCAAATCTATAAAATTTATTAATTGAACGCTTCATTATATATCCCATCCATCCCCCGACAGACTTGTAAGGTTGATCTTGAAACTGTTCCTTCTTTATTGTTTTTTAATTAAGTGAATATATAGTGTTCAACTTCAAATCAGCATATTGTTTTTCAACATTACTACCAGCAGAAAGCTAGTTACTAGCTAGCTTGACTTCGTATATTTGAATGTCTATATTTACAAAAATTAAATTCAACGCCTTTGAAGGGGATTAAAAAAGGTGACACATGTAAAAGGTTATATATATGTGTACACACACACCGCAAGTCTCAAACACGACATTAGTTTTTTTTTTTTTTTTGGGTTGAGAATGAGGAATATGCTTTACCAACAACAAAGTCTAATATTCTAATATACGTACTAAAAGAATATATCCCTCCCGATTAAGTTGATATACACACGCAAAAATTGAGATATAAATCGCAATTATTTGTAAAGTGATGAGAGTTCTTTTTTTTTTTTTTAAGTAACTTAGAATATCTTCAAATCATTTTGATTTAAAACTAATTTTTGGATTTAAAACTAATTTCGTCGAACCGGGAGCGTTAACATTAAAACCTTCTTAATAAGTGTGTTTTTTAAGATTTAAACTTGTATTCTCTTCCTTCTTAGATGAGATCACTTACCATTTCATCGATAGCTTTGTAAGTACAAAGTTCTTATTAGCATTCACATTAATGCAAGCTACTAACACAATATTATATTATGTATATAATTTTTTTTGTATGAATACATATATTTAAAGTTCAATTGGATTAAATTCCCTTGTCAAACTAGACAAAGGTAACATGTCATCATTATATATGTGTGTAAAAAAAATTAATTATATATATAATGTTAGATGTTAAATCACTATATATTCATCTCGAGTAGTTTGCATTTTGTCAAAAATGTTACACACTCCGTATAACTTTTCACGTGGTAGAACCTACTTTTAAGTGAATCTTTAAATAGTTTTTATTCTGTTTGAAAAAAAATAACATACATAATTGTGCAGAATAGATAAATATTTAATATATATTTCAAACATTATTCATGTGCTAACAGTAAGAGAATTTACATTAAAAGTATGTTGGATACTCATAAAATCGTAATGATTTTAGACTTTTCAAACGTGGATTGTATGCATGTATTGAATTGTACATTAGAATCATATGGGTATATTTCAATTTTGGCTGCTTTTGATGAATTAAAAAAATGATTTTCTTTTCCTAATTTCAGCTGGTTCTAGATAATGGATGAAATTTTCAAATTTCAAAGTCAAAGTTACTTAAAACTGTGAGCTTTTGACTGATATTATTAATTGGCCCATACACATCACTTATCAAATCAAAACCCAACATGACGGCTGCCTTTTACCGAGACCAAATTGGGTCCGTACATTGTTTCCTTTTGGACATGGATTGTAAGACCTTCAAATATATTTTTTCTATTAACCATTGAAAAATTTATCCTTCATCGAATCCGTTAATAGAGTTGGGTCTAATTAAAACTATTGGTATTTTAACAATATATGAACAATATTTAAATTCTACCAGAAAAAATACTAATATTAGAATTCAATAGCATTTTAAATATAATTGTTTTCCAATAAGAAGATACCTATACGTAGTAAAATAACATTTCCAATTTCAATTGAAAATGTATCCATATTTAATAGCATCAGATAATCAAATAAATTACCTCCAATATTACAATACGAGTGCCTAAAAAAAATGCACAACATGTGATGTGTGCGTGTGTTTTTGTTGGTAGAATTAGTACGTTGCTTATGGTTGGTGGGGCATGTGGTTTATGTTGACAAAAAATAAAAAATAAAAAATAAAAAGGGATTAGTTAGCTAAACGGTACGGGCTAAATCCCTGGGCCATGAACATATGGGCCTGGGCTTTGCCTTCCCTCACTGAAGCCGGCGGCATCATCTCAGTTTTCTTCTTCCACGGACGACGACGACGATCTCCGCCAAAATTCTTGTTCTATGGTCTGCTTCTCTCACTGAAATTTGACGAGCGGAAAGGTAAAATGAGATTCCTTCCTTCCTTCGTTCTCATTTTCGTTTTCCTGTTTCGCAATTCTTCAAACTTTACCATCTGATGTATCTTTCATTTCAAATTTTCTTCGTGAACTTCAATAAACAGTTAAAATTTTTAAATTTTAAAAAGCAGATTAGGGAGCCGCAGATGTTCCATCCATCTATGTTTTCTTGTCTATGGTTGAGTATTGCTTCTTGTTAGATGGACCGTTCTACTTGTAGGTCCTGTGTGAGTCCATCACTGCGGTCTCTCCTCCTCCTCCTCCTCCTTGTTCGATAATTAAGTTTTGTAGTTATGCTTGGTTGATCAGGAGGTGTACTTGTACCCCTTGAGTTGCATCTACATTACTGCTAGTGCATATATTTTTTTGGTTGAATCTGTTGTTGTGACCTTTGAGTTTGAACCTTTCGGAACCAGATGCTAGATCGTTATTCGATTGCTTTCTTGCTGATATTGTCCTGGCACATTGTGGGATTAAATGCAAGTGCTGGTGATGCTAATCCGCTTTATAGGTACATCATTTCTGATCTATGTACATTACTGGTTCTATTGAGAACTCTTTTCATCTCCAGCACAAAGTGATTTAACTCCCAATTTCCTAATTATCACCTGAAAAAAAATTCAACTAAATGTGACATCAGATAATTTCAAGGGCAAAAATGTTTAGGAATGAAAAATCACGTAATTATCATCAATTAATAGCAATTAAGCACGCAATTCCTAAAATACTAAAAGCACTCAGTTAAGCCAAATAATCATGATTTAAGCCATAAAAGTGTCCTAAAACTCACAAAATAAACCATTAAAATACATATGAAATAAGGATTTGTCAATTACCACATGTCAACCTTTTTTCTCCTGTTGTCAATCTTCGTTTCTATTTGGAATTTTAAGTGAATTTTTATCTTTCTTGGAATTGTTCTGCTGAACTATTTATGGGGTGCATTAAGCTTGGTATGGCCATTTCATGGGAAAGTTAACATCCTAGTGTTTTTAACTTGAATGTAATTTTGGAGGATTTTTATTAGAAGTTCACTTTCTTGATCGGACTTGTCCTAAATGTGATATTCTTCTGAAGATAAAAATGTTCCAGAAAACAAGCATCTTGAATTTTGCTGGTGCATCCTGTTCTGAGGTTCAGTGTGTGATTCCTAAGTGGTGTTTAATATGTTTCTTAGTTGAGGGGACGCTTAACTGGATATCTTGGTATTAAAGACACAAAAGAAAATTTGACAGTTCTTAAGCTCATAACTATTAGATTAAGCATATGTTTGCAATCTTTCATGAAAGCATAATGCCTTTGGTAGCTCACTAGCTCGTGCTATTTGTTTTCCCCACCTTCTTCTAGGCCTTTCATGATTAAACTGTGTTTGTAAATCTTCATTTAATCTGATTTGCTTATTTTCAGCCTAATTAAAGTAAGATTTTAGCTTTCCAAACCTTATTTTTTATTCTTTTTTAAAAAAATATCAGGGATTGTGTGAAAGAATGTGAGGAAACAGGATGTGCAGGGCAAAGATGCTTTGCAAACTGTAAATTTTCTGGAGATGACCTCACGCATGGTCCATGGTACAAGCAAGAACCACTTTACCTGCAGTGGAAAAAGTGGGATTGCCAAAGTGATTGTCGTTACTTTTGTATGGTTGATATAGAGAAAGAAAAAGAATTAAATAATGGTGTTCCGGTCAAATATCATGGTAAATGGCCCTTCATGCGTATCTATGGGATGCAGGTTTGTAACTGATGAAGCCCTGCATCTTAGGCTATCATTTGGAGTTAGTGTTTAATGACATCAAAATATTTTGTTTAGAAAACTGACATATCACATATCATTAATTTATTCAGGAACCTGCTTCTGTGGCTTTCTCTGTTCTCAATCTTGCAGCACATTTTCATGGCTGGGTATCCTTTTTCGTTCTTTTATACTATAAAATGCCTCTAAAAGAAGGGAAGAAGCCATATTATGAATATGTTGGCTTGTGGCATGCTTATGCGCTGTTATCAATGAACTCCTGGTTTTGGAGTGCTGTTTTCCACAGTCGGTAAGTCATGCATGCAGATATATTATCTTGTACTGCTTTACATAACTTTATAAGTGTTTTGCAACGTCAGTCCACTCTGTTCATTTTAAGAATGCTTACCTTATTATTTGACCTTTAGAATTATCGCTTAAAGATTCCATCAAGCCTATATGAATAGGTGGTTGAATAATAGCACATTGTTGAGTGCATTGGAGTATGAATTGCCTGATTCAATAGGAGGTGCATTGGTTCAATTAAATTGTAGCAATTCATAATATGCTTATGAAAATGGAAGCGCTAAATGGTAATTATTCCCCGTTTTTAGCTTACATATATTTTTAATTCTGCCACTTAAGTTCTTAATGGAATTTTTTATTTTTTATCTCACTCTTTCAGCCAGATTCAAATATATGAATTTATATGTTTGTCTTAAACTCTCCAACTCACTCAAAAGTTATTTTTCTCACTGCATAAAATGATAATTTGATTTTATTGAAGATAAAGTTGACAGGGCTCTCCCTGAACGTTAATACTCTTATTGTCGGCTAAGAAAAGATGAGGAACAACCTGTGTTCTTACCCAACATGTAGAGAAATGAAGATTTCTCGACTTTTTTCCGTGCATTGTCTTCCTGTCTCTTCTCTTTTAGCTTGAAGCTTCATAATGCCCCTGCCTTATTGAACTGCAGAGACGTTGATTTGACAGAGAAATTAGACTACTCATCTGCAGTGGCTCTCCTGGGATACTCCCTCATTTTGGCCATATTGCGAAGTTTCAGTGTCAGGGATGAGGCTACGAGGGTTATGATTTCTGCTCCACTAATTGCTCTCGTGACCACCCACATATTGTTCATCAACTTTTATAAACTAGACTATGGTACATCCTGTCGGAGTGTCTTTTACATCTTTATAATTTAATAGTTATGATTACTATAGTTGCATCGAAAACCAATGTTGTCTTTTTGGATAATTATACCCTGAACTGTCTGTTAATATCTACTTTTATTTTATTTTATTTTATTTTGGCCAAACTGTTAAATATCTACTTCATTGACAACTTCTGTGCCTATTGTCTTATCGATATTATTGAAGATGCTTAGCTAAGCAAACTTAAGCCAGCACTCCTTTTTTGTCATAAGTGTGTTTATACGAACCCATTATGGGTAGAGGCTTGCATTGGTCTTGGGGAATGTGTGGATGGGATTGAGTTTCAATTATATTTATTTCCCAACATATTATAGTTCTAGCTTTAGTATTGAAAATTCGATATGCTTGTGTATAAGCGTGTTAGGGAGGTCTACTATTGTTCTTCACTGTTTCTGCTTTTTGTGATGGTTTTAATGGCCTCCAATCCATTTTACAGGATGGAATATGAAAGTTTGTGTAGGGATGGCTGTGACCCAACTCATCATTTGGGCTGTTTGGGGTGGTATTAGCCGCCATCCCTCGCGGTGGAAACTATGGCTGGTTGTTTTTGCAGGTGGCCTTGCAATGCTGCTAGAGCTATATGACTTCCCTCCATATAAAGGACTTCTGGATGCACATGCTCTTTGGCATGCAACTACTATTCCTTTGACGTATATCTGGTGGAGTTTCATTAAGGATGATGCTAAATTTCGAACCTCAAATATTGTGAAGAAGGCCAAGTAACATGTTTTTCCCTTTGGGTGATCCACTGGGAACCGCATTTTCTCTGTGCCTGATTTATATAAATGCGAATTTTTTTAGCAGGAACTTCAATAGGGCAAAGGTTATTTCTTGTTTGACATTTCTTTCTCCAGCTTAAACGAATGTAAACTAAACAAAAATTTGTAGGCCTAATTCTGTCATTCCGATTTGAAGGGTTCCAATTTTTGTACTCATTGAACGCGAAACGTGTGTGTCCAAGCTGAAAGAGATCAAAAGCAAGCAGATAAAGTTGGCACTCCAGAGAGAGAGAGAGAGAGAGAGAGATGCTTTTGTTATAACTTTTGTGTTTTGTACCATTGATATTAATTCTTTAAGAGAATTGCTTAGAAAATCACTTCCAAAATTGAGGGATGTCAGTGCACGTGAGATATGATTTCCCAAGGAGTTGAGGGAAGAAGGTGGGATGCCAATTCACATGTTTTGCTGATTATGAAGTCACTAAGGCGCTACTTATATGGAGGCAAGGGAAGAGATTTGAGAAAACAGAAAATAGAAGAGAGAAAACTTAGATCTACTTATACTAAAATAATAATAAATGAAAATAATAATAACAACTAATCTTAATAATAAAAATATTAAAATACCAATAAATCTAAATAAATTCTAAAATAATAATAAATTCAAATAATTCAATATCCTAAAAATGTAATAAAATCATAATTATTTCTTATCCCATATTTCATCACAATAGTTATCAATAGTGATTTTTGTCAATATCTACAGTAATTGACGTTTAATATTAGCACGTGAATATTTAATTTTCGAGATGAACACGAAAAAACAATAGAAAAATTATTTGAATAAAGAAATGTGAAAAGCTTCAAAACTTCCCATTCTAGGTTATGATTTGCATATGGCGCTATTTTTATTTTTCAGTCCGCCTCAGTTTTTTTTTCCGCCCCCAAGAACGCTTCATTTATAACCAAAAATAAATAAATACCATTAATTTAATTTCCCTTAAATACTTTTTTTTTTTAAAATAACTTTGAATGTGCTTTTAACAATTTTCAGGAGGAGATTCCCGTTAAAAAAAATGGTGTTAAGAGGATATTAGACTAAAAATTCCGTGGGGTAAATTGGGCCAAACGAAGCCCAAATTCTAAAAATCAGAGCCCAGAACACGTCTGATTTCAGCAGAAAACCTCACTTGAGAGAGTATAAAGCACATGCTTCGCCTGCTTCACTCGCATTTGCGCGGCCGATAGAGGGGTGCATCTGTTTTCTCGCCGCCTCACCTCTCTAAGCCTATTGTACGTTTTCCTGTTGGATTTCTGTGTCTTTTACGTGATTTATGATTCTCTTTTCGATCAAATTCTATCTTTCTTTGTACTCTCCGGTAGATTTATAGACTTCTTGTTAAATTCGCCATAGATCTGTATTTGAGTCAAATAGTGTTATATTTTAAGTTTGATATTTTTTTTTTTGAAACTTCATGTATTTCTCGATTTCTAGCTTTAAGGATGTAACTCAACATCGTTTGATTTTTCCACCGAGTTAATGTAAAAAGATTTTGTTTTTTGTTTTATAGATATTAAAGTGCTGTGCCGACAATATGATTTACCTTTTTGAGTTATTAGATACAGAGATTCAAGAGTCGATGGGTCTTTTCCTTTTTAATATTGCTATGATCAAATAATACTGGTATATTTGCTGATCATTGCTTTATGTTGCCATCTGAGGGAATTTGGATCAATTATATCTTTAGAAAACAAATTATTTTTTGTTCTCAAAGTCTGTATATCTGGAATCAGATTTGATTAGTCTTGACAGTTTTGTACTGCTGCGAGATCCAATTGTTTGGCTTATTTCGTTTCTTTTTTCAGATTCACATCAATTCAACGTCAAACTACTGATTTTTTGTGCGGACAATAAACACCAGTCAAGATGGTAACTTAGCGAACTTTACTTCTGGTAACTGAGTTCGAATTTTCATTGGTTGTGGATCATTGACATTGGAAATTGTTTCCATACATTCAGGTGAAGTTCACAGCGGAAGAGCTTCGTCGTATTATGGACCGCAAATACAATATTCGTAACATGTCTGTCATTGCACACGTCGATCACGGTATGGACTTATTTGTACTGGATTTATCTGTTATGGATTTCGCTTTCTCTGTACCCTAACAGCCATTATGTTATTTCCCCTTTTTTCTCTGTACCCTTACAGCCATCTGTTATGGATTTGTGCTGGTATAGTGACATTGAAAATTGTGTCCATCATCGGTTTTATGCCTTATGAATGCATCATTACAGAAAATTCTTTTTATATTCGCAGGCAAAACATCCGTTTAAAAATTCTGAGAAAATCTACCACAGAACACATTGAAATTTATACACAACATTGTTGATTTATTTTTCTATATAATTACATTAATCTCTAGTCATATAACTCTATTCTCTGGCACTTTGATTGCAGGAAAATCAACCCTCACTGACTCTCTTGTGGCTGCTGCCGGTATTATTGCCCAAGAAGTGGCAGGAGATGTCAGGATGACTGATACTCGTGCAGATGAAGCTGAGCGTGGCATCACCATTAAGTCTACTGGTATCTCCCTCTACTATGAGATGACTGACGAAGCCCTCAAGGCCTACAAGGGAGAGAGGAATGGGAATGAATACCTGATAAATCTGATTGATTCTCCTGGGCACGTGGACTTCTCATCTGAGGTCACAGCCGCTCTTCGTATCACTGATGGAGCGCTGGTGGTGGTGGACTGCATTGAGGGTGTGTGTGTGCAGACCGAAACGGTGCTTCGACAGGCACTGGGAGAGAGAATCAGACCTGTTCTGACCGTCAACAAGATGGACAGGTGTTTCCTTGAGCTGCAGGTGGATGGAGAGGAGGCTTACCAGACCTTTTCGAGGGTTATTGAGAATGCTAATGTGATCATGGCCACATACGAAGATCCTCTGCTGGGTGACTGCCAGGTTTACCCGGAGAAAGGAACAGTTGCCTTTTCAGCTGGTTTGCACGGCTGGGCTTTCACCCTAACCAACTTTGCTAAGATGTATGCTTCAAAATTCGGAGTTGACGAGTCAAAGATGATGGAAAGGCTGTGGGGTGAAAACTTTTTTGATCCGGCCACCAAGAAGTGGACATCCAAGAACACTGGTTCTGCCACTTGCAAGCGTGGGTTCGTTCAGTTCTGTTATGAGCCCATCAAGCAGATAATCAGCACCTGCATGAATGACCAGAAGGACAAGCTGTGGCCGATGCTGCAAAAGCTTGGTGTGACCATGAAATCTGAGGAGAAGGATCTGATGGGCAAACCCTTGATGAAACGTGTGATGCAAACGTGGCTTCCAGCTAGTGATGCGCTATTGGAAATGATGGTGTTCCATCTTCCCTCACCCGCAAAAGCTCAGAAGTATCGTGTTGAGAACCTGTACGAGGGTCCACTTGATGATCCTTATGCTGCTGCTATCAGGAACTGTGATCCTGAAGGACCTCTGATGCTCTACGTGTCAAAGATGATTCCTGCATCAGACAAGGGAAGGTTTTTTGCCTTTGGGCGTGTGTTCTCTGGTAAGGTCTCTACAGGTTTGAAGGTGAGAATCATGGGACCCAATTATGTGCCTGGAGAGAAGAAGGACTTGTATGTGAAGAGCGTGCAGAGGACTGTTATCTGGATGGGAAAGAGGCAGGAAACTGTTGAGGATGTGCCATGCGGTAACACTGTTGCCATGGTTGGTTTGGATCAATTTATCACCAAGAATGCCACTTTAACGAATGAGAAGGAAGTGGATGCCCACCCAATCAGAGCTATGAAGTTTTCTGTGTCTCCCGTGGTGCGTGTTGCTGTTCAGTGCAAGGTCGCTTCAGATCTTCCCAAGCTTGTTGAGGGTCTGAAGCGGCTGGCTAAGTCAGATCCTATGGTTGTTTGTTCGATTGAGGAGTCTGGGGAGCACATTGTTGCTGGTGCTGGTGAACTTCACCTTGAGATCTGTTTGAAGGACTTGCAGGAAGACTTCATGGGCGGAGCTGAGATCATTAAATCTGACCCTGTTGTGTCCTTCCGTGAGACTGTGCTGGAGAGATCTTGCCGCACTGTGATGAGCAAGTCGCCCAACAAGCACAACCGTCTGTACATGGAGGCGAGACCCCTGGAGGAAGGACTTGCCGAGGCAATTGATGATGGCAAGATCGGTCCAAGGGATGACCCCAAAGCTCGTTCCAGAATCTTGTCAGAAGAGTATGGTTGGGACAAGGATCTGGCCAAGAAAATCTGGTGTTTTGGGCCCGAGACGCTTGGACCAAACATGGTGGTGGATATGTGCAAGGGAGTGCAGTATCTGAATGAAATCAAGGATTCAGTGGTTGCTGGGTTCCAGTGGGCATCAAAGGAAGGCGCATTGGCTGAAGAGAACATGAGGGGCATCTGCTTTGAGGTGTGCGATGTTGTTCTTCACGCTGATGCCATCCACAGAGGTGGTGGTCAGATTATTCCCACGGCAAGGAGAGTGTTCTACGCTTCCCAGCTGACTGCTAAACCCAGACTTATGGAACCAGTTTACCTTGTGGAAATCCAGGCTCCCGAGCAGGCTCTTGGTGGCATCTACAGTGTTCTGAATCAGAAGCGTGGACACGTGTTTGAGGAGATGCAGAGGCCCGGTACACCCCTGTACAACATCAAGGCATACCTCCCTGTCATCGAGTCATTTGGGTTCTCAAGCACTTTGAGAGCTGCAACATCAGGTCAGGCTTTCCCTCAGTGTGTGTTCGATCACTGGGACATGATGTCGTCAGATCCAATGGAGGCCGGGTCACAAGCTGCACAGCTTATTGCTGACATTCGCAAGAGGAAGGGATTGAAGGAGCAGATGACTCCACTTTCAGAATACGAGGACAAGCTTTAAATTTTGTTCAGTTTCCAACTTTTGTCATTAGTTTTTCTCTATGACGTGCTGTTTCTGTGTTCGTTTTATTTAAGCGGCTTTATTTCGTCAGCAATTTTAAATACTCAAGCACCCATTTAGCATGTATTTTTGAACTCGTGATTGTCAGGTTCCACTTACAGAATTGTAACAAATACATTGATGATTTCTGGTGCCATGGCATTTTGATTGAGCTATTTTATGTTTACTGACTTTACTCAGAATCTGGTATTATTACCATTTATCTTGTGATGATTTCTGGTTCAGCTGCTCCTGTTTCATTGTTATCTCCTCTTGAAGCTCTGTTGTCTCACTCCCACGGCTTTTATTTTTTTGGGGGTTGCTTGAGGAAGTGTAATCCGGATTCGCATTTGCGCATTGCTTAGTTTTTCTTTCGTCTTTCAGGTGTGCTATTTGAGGTTTGCATTCATCTCGCCCCTGCAGTTTTGCCGACCATTGGTGATTGTTATGTTATACATCCTAGGCTTAGTTCTTTAGATGCTTGAATGTGTGAGATGACAGTTTCTGCATTTTGAGAATGTGCCCCAATCGACTCCAAGAAAACTATGGCTAGCCGAACAAAGGGAAGATGCCAATGAAACTGGGCAGAGTTTCATCTTTAATTTCCACTTCATTTACTTATCAAAAAACAGCACGTCAATTCCTTATGCTCGACGGCGTGGTATCTTTTCTTGTGACGTTATCCAAATATGGAGCATACGTAGGCTTGATTATTACTATCTCAGTATCTTAATATAAAAATTAGTTGATTAATTTGAGTAGATTAAGAAAATTAGTTAAATTCGTTGTTTGTAATGAATGTGTTATTTTTTTTAAAATATCCTTGCCAACCAAGTATATTAGTTAGAATTATTATTATTGTAAGGATTATTTTGAAAAAAGTTGAATAAATATGAGAGACAAAATAGATCGGGTTTTATATTTATGATCAAAATAAAAGTCAAACAAGTTCTTATACTAAAAACAGGAGCTATTTATAAATAAAGTAATTTATTCAAACACATGATTTTCAATCAGTGCCACTTGCCCACTTGTGCATCCTGGCATCCAATATAAGATTCTTGCTCATCGTTTCAAGCAGGCCAACATTATTAGCAGAGTGGATGGTCTTATGCGGCGTAATAGGTTGAATATATTTAATTAATCTTCCTCTATTCCTTGGAATAATAATTTTATATATCAAAGGACCTGCGCATGAAGGTAATAAACTTTTTACGATGACATAATTAACGGGACCGACATGCTAATTATTATGAATATTCTCAAGGTAAGACGGTTAATCGAAGAGAGTGGCCATAGCCTATAGCCAAACAATCCATAACATTTCTAAGATTAGTAATTAAGGGTGATTATTATTGTATTATAATCGTTTGACCTGATCAAAAACTTGCATCTATCAATAGGAATTACATCATCATCATTATTCGAATTAGTTAATTGCAGAAAATTTGTGGATGTTAACCACATTTATACTTGCACAGCACACAAAACACACACACACACACAAACGCGCACGCACCCCCCCCCCCCAAGATCCGATATTGCGAATTCAGAGATTAGATTTGCATAATACTCCTCCGGTCCTTAATATAGGACCTAATTGTGGTCCTTAATATAGGACCTAATTGTTAAGTTGGTTTTGGTCTTAAATATAAGATCCATTTCTCATATTTATCAATTTTCTCTAAATTACCCCTATGGATACTCCCTTAACCATAATCAAGTAGAAGAGGAAAAATGGGTATTAAGAAAGATGATTATGGTGTTTTAGGAAAAATGTGTCACTTTTCTTATAATTAACTAACTTATCTAACTTCCTTAATCTAATCAAATTAGTTAAATGGGTCTTATATTAAGGACCAGAGGAGTAATAACTTATACTATCTCCGGTACTTAATAAAAGACTTTATTTGACTTTTATTGTGGTCCTAAATATAAGACTCCAATTCACTTTGTCTCTCATATTTATGTATTTTTTTTCAAAATAACCCTTCTAACAATGGTATTATAGCCAATACACTTAATTAGTAAGGATATTTTAGGAAAGACAACACATATTTATTACAAATAACTAACTTAACTTCTTTCTTTAATCTCCTCAAATTAGTCAGCTAGCTCTTATAATTAACACCGGAGGTAGTATTACTGAACTTACATTTATAGAGTATTAATTATCACAATATATATAATATATTTTAAACGTTGTCGTATATATTATTCAAAAAATTGTAAAAATTTTCTACCTTTAATATTTGGTTTTCCATTAGTGCTTCACTATATATCCCTGTGCTTTAACTGAAACTTTGACGGATATCCGATAAATACAATAATTCAAATCTCAATTGATCTGCATCCTCAAATCTCTTTCACCTAAAATTTGAAATAATTATATCTAATTAGAATATTCTACAATCTACACACACACAAATATCAACAATTCAACGTATAATGAACTTCAAAACGACAAAAACACAGTCGATTGCCGTCGAACAAGCAATAATTTAATACATATATATATTGTTTTAGTTTAATTTCAGCTCTTCTGGCAATTATATTAAGGATACTTTCAAAATGTTGAATGAAATCCAATCACATTGCTTCATTGAATTTGCAGAAATACTTGGGGCCTGTTTGGAACAACTTATAAGTAGTTTTTCAATCGTGATTTACGGAATACAAGGTAAGTATGTGAGAAGAGTTTTGTCTCGGCTTACGTAAAACGTGTTTATAAGGGATTCTCACCGCTATCTCAAACAGGCCCTTGAAGGTTTCCTCCTCTGGATTTTCAATAAATTTGTAGCACTTTTTGAAAATCCTCCAAGTTCTACCTCACGCCACAGCTTCCAGGTTCATGTGGAGTATGAAAAGGAAGATCCAGACCCCTTCAGGATCGATGAAGAAGAAGACGACGACGACGGGTTCAATTTCGATGAGTTCATAGAACAATTCCTTGCACTGGATTCATTTATGAAATCACTAAGGGAACTGAAATTGGATGAGAAAGCAAAAGAAGAAAGCTGCAATATTTGTCTTAAATCTTTTGAAGATGATAATAATAATGGCAATGTCGTAGCAATGCCATGTGATCATATTTATCATAGACTTGTTATTTGTCGAAAATTGCATTCAAATTATTTGTATCTTATTTTATCTAAACTACTATCCGATCCAATTTAGATATCGTGATTATTGCGACACTAATTATGTTTTATTTTATGTGATCATTTAATGGTATTGTGTGCTGTTTCGAAGAAAAATTTGTCTTGGGTGATTACTTACATAGATGCTGTTTTGACCTGGAAGAAATTAAACGTTCGATTTCGTGTTTCTTAAAAGGCAAGTTAAAACTTGAAAATGCAATAAAAACAATAATAAGGGTCTGTTTGGCTCAATGAGAGGAAGGGGAGGGGGATTTTAATAGAGGGAAGGAGAGGGGAGGAGAGTGGAAGGATTTTAATATTACCTTGTTTGGATTTATAAAAAGGGAGGGGAGGGGATGAGTTTTAATATTACCTTGTTTGGTTCATGAGGGGAGGGGATGAAAAAATATTTTAACATGGACAATTTTGCCCTTATTTTATTTAAGATATGGGCATAATAGTCACAATATGACAAAATATAGGTATAATGATCACAATATGATAAAATATTGCTATTTCTCTCCAAATTCTCCCAATTTTGGAGGGGAGGTTGAGGAGAGGAGGGGAAAATTTTTTCCCTTCCTCCTAAAATTTATGTGTTGCCAAACAAGAGAAAATGATTAAAATCATTCTCCCTCCCTCCCCTCCCTTCCAAATCCCTCGTACCAAATACCCCCTGAACAAATCATATATGAATGGCTTCCACGATGCACATTTGAGTTCAAACTCCCTATTGAAATATTCTACTCCTCCGGTCCTTAATATAGGATCTAATTATTGAGTTGGTTTTGGTCCTAAATATAAGACCAATTTCTAATATTTATCAATTTTCTCTAAATTACCCCTATGGATACTCCATCAACTATAATCAAGTAGAAGAGGGAGATTGGGTATTAAGAAAGATGATTATGATGTTTTAGGAAAAACGCATCACATTTCTCATAATTAACTAACTTACCTAACTTCTTTAATTTAATCAAATTAGTTAAATGGGTCTTATATTAAGGACTGGAGGAGTATCTCTTATTTTTAATACAAGAACTAAATAATAAATTTGCAAACATTAAAAAAAAAATAGTTTAGTCAATTATTCGTGATAAATGAGTATTGACATTCTTAAAATATTTTTAATCATGTGCATTGGAACTCCCCCTAATAGAAACTCTTTAACATGCGTAATAAATAAAGATATTTTAAGAAAAAAATTATAAACTTAAAAATAAAATGGATTGGGTTTTTATATTTATAATTAAAGTGAACATTTTATTCTCAGTCGACGGTCCACCGTGAAAATCAATTGAATAGTTTCTATTTGAATCATAAACATTCAATTTCTGATAATTATTTTTCTGCGTAGGTTTTGAGCCTACTACAACCTGAATTTAGTGGCTTGAGTGAGCCTTTCTTGATGAGTTTACTCTTATTTTCTGATAAAATATTATATATGCAAATTATAAAGCTTTCTTGTACATATGTGTGCAGTCAATTTGATAAACTTACAAATTAAATATTCCTTCATGTTCTAAACCTAAGAAACGGATAACTAATTTGTAAAGGTTAAAATAATTAATTTAATTATTTATAAAAAAACATGTGTTGATTTTTCTAAAATATTTCATTTAATAATTTGTATTGATACTGACCCAACTTTCTTAAATATATGTATAATCAATAAAGAGGTTTAAAAAATTATAAATTTGAAAATCAAAACATACTGAGATCTTACGTTTATAATCAAAGCAAACCACTTTACTAATTAGCTCTTTCATTTAGGATTGATAAGAAGCTTAAGGTTATACTACCTCCGGTCTTAATTATAAGAGCTAGTTAACTAATTTGAGGAGATTAAAAAAATGAGTTGAGTTAGTTATTTGTAATAAATAGGTGTTTTTTTCTTTAAAATATCCTTACTAATCAAGTGCATTGGCTATAACCATCATTATTAAAAAGACTATCTTGGAAAAAAATGCATAAATATGAGAGACAAAGTGGAATGAGATCTTATATTTAGGACGAAAATAAAAGTCAAACAAGATCTTATATTAAGGACCGGAGGTAGTA